TTTCTTTTCCCCCCCCCCCCCAAGCAATGTTTAAATACCTCATTCATTCATACACGCTGCAAAAATGCTTTTGTTACCGAGTATTTTGTAATCTAAATAAAGTGCATTTTACTTTAAACAAGAAAAGTCATCTTAATGCAAATGGAAACAAGATTATTTTTCTTACCCCATTGGCAGATAATTTACAAAATAAGAAGAATACACTTAAAAGACTAAATACTTTGTAATTTTCTTAAGTAGAAAATGCATCTTGATTTAAGAATCTTTAGATATTTTGATTGGAAACAAGAAGAATCAAAATATCTTTTGATTCTTGTTTTATACTCGACAAGAATGTTGTTTTATACTTGTTTTATACGTGTTTTATACTCACTCACACGTCACTTAAGACAAAAATAATAAGTAAGAAAAGCATTTTTTGCGGTGCAGGTACATTCATTCATTGCATTTTTTTATCATGCAGACACTGTGAAAGTAACAAAAACGGCATGTCCTTTTATGCAGAATCCTGTAGATGAGGAGGCTGCATTAATAGGAAGTTACATTTACATTGGGAGAGGATGCATATTTATTTGAGCGGTACTATTTTTTAAATGGTAGTTTTCTATATAACATCAGGGATTCAGAGCACATTAGTAAGGCCACTGTATGCAAAGCGGTAAGGAAAGTGTGCCTCGCTCTCACCCTTTTTATGAGAATTTTTGTGTAGTTTCATGAGCACATTTAACTATGTGAAAAGAGGGTTAGACTATGTAGAAAAAGCTGCTGCACACTGAAATTGACACCTGAAAGATATTTGTTTAATATGTCAAATGTTTGTAAAGTCATGTAGCCTACACCCATGAACGTTTTATGCTTAAAGCTTTACCTGATTGAATTATGTTTTTATACTTCAACCTACTGAGAGTGGATTGAACTAACTCAGTTCAGCTGTTCTGAAACCAAAAACTCAGAGTTTCCCATATCAGGGTAAGTCAACTCAGAGTTCAAGTTTCAACTCAGAGTTGGTTGAACCTCCTTATTGAAACGGACCCCAGAACACACAAAGTGCTGAAAAAAACTTCGCTTAGCACACCGTTATCTTTGTGTCTGGAACGTCTGTGTCGGCACGCGTTCTTATTGTTATCAGACTGAGGAGACACCCGAGCATGTGGATATTATTGTTTTTCTCAACATTAACATGTGAAACAATATAAACAAAATAAACATAGGCTGACTCGAGTGTATGTACGTTCTGTACTGTAATTGGCACAGCCTGCTTTATTTTTTTCTATTTGCTCTGCTTGAGCTTGAATGCTTTTGTTCTTTATATAGGCTATATATTTTTTTTTTGTTTGTTTACACACGTTTTTGACTAAAAGAAAACCTTGTTGTAGAACATTGTTGTGTATCATAAGCTTGTTCAGAAATGGTGACAAACTGATTATTAAAAAAAAAAAACATATTTCTCGTTAAACGTCATTTAAATAAACGTATATTCAAATATTTGAATATTCATTTTTTTATGAGCCCAGATATTTGAATACGGTATTTTTGAAAAATTCCCATCCCAGTTGAAAACAGCTGTGCTGCTTAATATTTTTGTGGAAACCATGATACATTTTTCGTATTTTGTAACGTTATAAATACCTGATTAATGTAATGCATTCTTGATGAATAGAAGTGTAAATGTCTTTACAAATTTCTTACTGACTCAAAACTAGTAGTAGTGCATATTTTAATTACCATCATAATTTTTTTTCTCTTCTCATTACAGAGTGCTGCTGCGGCACCCAGTCCAGTCCTAGGCAACATGCCTCCCGGTGACAGCATGCCGGGTGGACCCATGCCCCCCGGATTCTTCCAGGTGGGTCATTCCTCTTCCTCACCCTCTCCATAACAATCTGACTGCAAGCCCTCAGGGTTTCAGACACGTGCCGTGCCACTGGTTCACAGAGAAACCATTATGCCACGGTCTCTGGTCATCTGCCAAGCTGGGTGTCTGCGGGGAACCAGTCTGATTGCGACCATTAGCCGCTAATGGCAGGCAGGGTTATGTGCATTCTCTACTCTGAGAGTGGGCTCGCCGTTGCCCTGCTGAGTAGCACTAAATGTGTTGGTGGGATGTACCTTCAGCAGTGGAGTTAACGCTTTATCACTCAGAAGCTTTCTGAGAGGGTGACTCATCACAATATCATAACGAGTTCTAGGAAAATATTTATGGATGAAAAGATGTTTATAATTATATTTTTGAAGGAAGCATATGGAGAAATCTTTGTCAGACCAGATGGAGTCATGACCCTCCAAGAGCTTTTGTGGGAATGCAGCATGGCACAGATTCTCAGATACTGAGAGCTGCAGAACATGGAACTGGTTTATGCAAGTCCTGAAACGTGTATCAGTGGATATGCAGAAAAATTTTGAACAGTTGAGTGTCTTTGGTCTTTTAGACCACGGTTAAACCCCATTGCCCTCTAGTGGTGACATGGATGATGATTTGTAAAAACGTACTTAGTTATTATTCTTTTGTTTTTCTGTAGAAATATCTAAACATCCTTAAAACCTGATGAAGTTTCTTGAGAAGAAAAATAATTTTGATGTAAATTAATAGAAAAAAATGCTATTATGTGTCTCAAATTTAGTGAGGAGAAAAACTTCAAGATATATTCTATGAAGATATATTCTGAAGATATATTCTATAGAAAATTACTGCATAAAATTAGTTCTAGACCATTAATACTGTGATGATTCACAGGACTATGATTCACATAATGTCTTGCAATGTCTATCAACCAATCAGAATCAAAATCGATTAAAAATTAATTCAACCACACTGTGGTGTAATTGAAAGAAGTTTCTTATGCTCACTGAGGCTGCCTTTATTCGATAAAAATTACAATAATATTGTAAGATATTACAATTTAAAATAAAAAATTTTATTTGAATATATTTAAATATATATTTTGAAATGTTATTTATTTCGGTGTAAAGCTGAATTTTCAGCGGCCATAAAGTTCTTCAGTGTCACATGATCCTTCAGAAATCATTTTAATATTCTGATTTGGTGCTCAAGAAACATTTCTTATAATTGTCAATGTTGAAAACAGCTATGCTGCTTAATATGTTTGTGTAAACCTTGATGCATTTTTCTCAGGATTCTTTGATCAATAGAAAGTTCAAAAGGACACCATTTATTTGAAATAGAAATATTTTGTACCGTTATAAATGTATTTACAGTCACTTTGGATTATTTAATGCATTCTTGCTGAATAGAAGTATTATTGTCTTTAAAAAAATCTTACTGACCCCAAACGTTGGTATGGTATTGTACATCTTGAACACATGTAAATGATTTATAGCTTGAAACATAAAGCAAAATGGGGGGGGAAAAATGCATCTAGCAATGTAATTTTGCATAGATAGAAGCAAAACCACTTTAGAATGAAGAGTGACATCAGCTCAAACTATCTTTTGCCTTTGGCTCTGTTCTCTTCATCTGCACCTGTCACTTTCACCTGTCATGTCTTTGACTTTGCGCTGTCTTTCTCTTGGCATTTTGCTGCTGATACTATGGCAACCTTCTCTTCCTCCCCCTACCCTCTTTGCAGGGACCACCTGGTTCCCAACCCTCCCCTCACACTCAGCTACCTCCCAACTCTAACATGATGGGGGCGCATGGACAGGTAACAGCACACATATCTATGTACACGTTCTCTCTGTTTATATGGTTATGCATGTTACCTGCACACATCCTGATATGCTTTTCCTAAAATATTCTGTTCCTTCCTCCTCTCGCCTTTAGCTTTTGTATTGGTTACATGCTGTTACATTTTTTTTTAACTATGTGTTACTGTATGTTCCCATATTCAGCCTTTTATGTCTCCTCGCTATGCTGGAGGACCTCGGCCACCCATCAGAATGGGTAACCCGGTAAGTCACATTAAAATGTTTTAAATAACTGTGTTTATTAACTTTGACTTATTTTAGCACTTGGCTGTCTCTGTTTCTTTAGCCTCCAGGTGGGCAGCCTTTACCTCCAAATATGATGGACCCTACACGACCAACAGGTAAGAGACTAATGGGATCAATGTTTATTTGATGGTGAAAGTCCCTTATTTATTTTACAAGTAGACTTCAAATTCAATTCAGCATTGTCATTTCATTTTGATGTGCAGGTCTGTTAAATTTTTAAATAGTGTTATTATTTGGTCAGGCCATCCAAATCTGGCACCTATGCAGAGAATGAATGCTCCTCGAGGAATGGGCCCGATGGGACCGGGACCACAGGTCTGGCTCTTATACTGTCCTAAAGCTCAACTTCACAACTGTCATTCATGAAAATCTGAGTATCTATGCCTTAGACCCCATCAATTAGTTTTGCTTACTTCTAGGACTGGACTATGTAGCTAAAACAACTGTATATCAATGTATTTTACCTCAGTATTTAATGTACATCTTATACGCATACTGTATGCACGTATTATTAAAATAAATTACTAGTTTTATTAAGCAAATAAGCAAGAATGACAATAAAGACATTTTATAATGTTACAAAAGATTCCTACTTCAAATAAATGCTGTTGTTTTAAACGTTCTATTCATCCAGAGCATCCTGAAAAAATTATCACAGTTTCCACAAATATATTAGCAACACAACTGTTTTTAACACTGATAATGATAAGAAATGTTTCTTGAGCACCAACTCAGCATATCAGAATTATTTGTGAAGAATAATGTGACACTGAATACTAAAGTAATGGCTGCTAATAATTCAGCTTTTCATCACAGAAATAAATTATGTTTTAAAACATTTAAATGCAGCCTAGGTGAGTATAAGAAACTGTACTACTGTTAAAAAATAAATAAATAATTACATGCATACATAAATAAATAAATAAATGTTTTTGAAAACAGTCAAATGTAGTCTGAATGTTTATTGCAAGAGGTAAAATACAGTAAAACATAGTTAAACATAATCAAGGCATGTTTTTCCTGTGGTCCTTTTTAATAAATGGACAGATAAAAATGGTAGACGTTTATAATTTTATTTTATATGCACTAATACTAAAGTTACAAAAAAACAGTGATATTTACAAATATATTTTTACTGAAACATTTTAATAGTTATTTGTTTGAGGAACAATGCAAGTGAAATGTTAAATCAATTGTCTTACTCTTACACCAATTTTCTGAATGCACCTCTTGTGTTTATTCAGTTTTTTGTATGGCATCCACACATTCACAGTCATTACTACAGCTTATCAGCCGAATTCCATAAATTATGTTCAGCCTGTTTTCCTCTAAACTAACTGTGTCCTTGTTTTCTCCTTTCTCATGGTGTCTTCTCGGGGTGCTGGGCATCGTAGTCTGATCCTTGGTTATCATTACAGAGCTATGGAGGAGGAATGAGGCCTCCAAACTCCATGGGCCCTGGAATGCCAGGGGTGAACATGTAAGGACACTCTCAGTCTATTGTATTTGTGGAATTTTACATTATGTCAGGCTGGTCAGGATGTTCAAACAAACAGTAATGTTTTGATAGCACCCAGAGACCCCAGGAGAATTAACTTCTAGATGACTCTGTCGTCTCTGCATATTAAATTAGGAAAGGAATTTTTTTTTACCCTGTAAATCCTGACATGAAATAATAGTCAGAAAAATCTTTTATTGAACCTTTAGACAAAATTTTTTTTTTTTTTAAATAATCTACATAAAAAAAAAATGTTGACATGTTTTTTGTTGAGTATCATATCTGATAATGCAGGCTTTTATGGCTCATACAGTATGATATAGGAGAATATTGAGCTTATATTTGTAAAAAAATTAAAAATCACCTCTTTCACCATTTTATTCAGAGCCCAAACCAAGCAAAAATATGCAATTTGGTGCAGTTACTTATATTTATATAGCCAAATGTCAGACTCTGATAGCTTGTAATGTAAATCAGTGAGATTCTTTAAGTATAAGAAATTACTTATACTTAAACTGTTGTCAGTTGTCACTATATATCACTACAACAACATGTTTTGGTAAGATTAAAAAAAATGTAAAAGATTAGTTTTATGTAGTGCTGTCAAACGATTAATCGCGATTAATTGTTTGATGATTTTCGTTTGATGCACTAGTTTTATGATAAAAGCTCTGTAGCTTTTATTGTGGGGGCAACACATATAATTCAATACAATACAATGCTGACTGAGAGATGCACAAATAAACATTCCTCAAAAGCTAGATGTGCCATAACTGATACTCACAACATGATTTTTTTAAAATGGTGTATGGATAATCAAGTAAACCTAAGTTGCTTCAGTCCAGTAAGTGTTCATCTTCAAATATTTCCTCTTATTGCTTTAAAAAAATATTCTTATGTTTACCTAATAAAAATCAGTTAAGATTTCACAGCAAAAAGTGTACATTTTTAAAATGATATTAGAAGGCCTTTTATTTGCTAAAAAAGTATCAACTATCAATCAGATGATAGAAGACATTTAGTAGATACATGTAGTAGATTGTTTTTCAGCAAAGTTTTGATGATGTTAATAATTTTTGTGCTGGATATTTAACTGTGACCTTCCAAGGTAAATCATTTGATTTTGAAGTGTTGCTTTAATACATAAATAGCTTTAGAAAAAAACAAGCAATATTTTGACTCCACAGAGCTGCAAAGATCATCATTAAAAAAATCTGTAGTTTTATTTAGACTTTATTTAAATTCTTGAGCATTCATCGTGATCTTACATACAAGAGACTTATTTGATGTTCTTAACAAAGTTAAAAAATAGAAACTGCTCTGTTTCTCTGTACAGGGGAGCAGGAGCAGGCAGACCATGGCCTAATCCTAATAACGGAAACACAGTAAGATACTTCAGAAAATTGAGCTGATTCTATTAGAGGGGGAATTCGTGATTTCTGGCAAACTTGGCTGATAAATAACCTTTTGGCTTCACAGATACCATATTCCTCATCATCCCCAGGAACATATCTGGTAATTGATCATTTCCTTTTCCTTCTTTTATTTTATTGTCTGTTTTGAAAGAAACTGGTTGCAGTTCTGCTTTCACAGGGTCCTCCAGGAGGAGCAGGAGGTGGTGGATGTCCTCCAGGAAAACCCATCATGCCAAGTCCAGCAGGTAATGGCTTGTCACATTTCTGTCTACTGGCCCTTTGCCATAGAAACGGTGCCTGGCTAGGGGATGTGAGAATAGAGTTTTATGGTGACTCTTTAAAAAGCATAAACCTCCACCTCTGTGTTCACAGACTCCACTAACTCGGGTGAAAACCTCTACACATTGATCAACTCAGTACCACCAGGGGGAAACAGATCTAATGTGAGTTACTCCACTCCTCTGCTGTCTTTGTCATGTAGTGTTGATGTTTCTGTTTTAGTACTTGAACTCTGATTGTGTCTTAATCTCTCTATAAATGCTGTCTTGACGTGTGTTTGTAGTTTCCTTTGGGTCCTGGGTCAGATGTCTCAATGGGAGGACTGGAACCACATCACATGAATGGCTCACTGGGTAAAACACCATTCACCATAGCAACTACATAAATTGTTGAAAACATCTTTTACCCTTGCAGTTAGATAAATGAACACCATGTGATCTGCAAATGATGATTGTTGATTCATTTTTACTTTTCTCACAGGTTCGGTTGACATAGATGGACTCCCAAAGGTATTATTAAACCTATTATTTAGACTTATTATTTCTTTTGAAATGGTGTTAAAACTAGCAGTTAGAATGTTAGAATCCAAACTGAACTTTGCTAAAGGATTTGGGATAGGATGATTTTAAAATATCACAACATCAAATGCTGATATTTTATCTAGAGTTTATTTTTTAAACTAAAACCTAAACCTGAATATAAACCTAAATAATCTTAACTTAAAAAATCATGTTCATTATAAGCTTTATAATGGTTAAAAAGTCAACTGTTACAATTAGAATAATAAGTGTTTCCATTTATCACAGAAAACCTGGAAATATCAGGGAATTTTAAATTTGTCATTTCCAAGTTTGGGAAGATCAGGGACAATCATAGTCTTGGAAATTTTTATGTAGAATATACACTACCATTCAAATGTTTGGGTGAGTGAGATTTTCTGTATTTAAAAGAAATTAATACTTCTTTTAGCAAGGATGCATTCAATTGATCAAAAGTGACACTACAAACTTGTAGTTTCCCAAAAATGTGTATTTCAAATAAATGCTGTTCTTTTATTTATCAAAGAATCCTGACGACAAAATTTCCATAAAATTATTAAACAACACTGGTAAGAATGATTTCTGAAGGATCATGTGACACTGAAGTAATTGCTGCTGGAAATTCCGCTTTGCCATGACAGAAATAATTGATATTTTAAAATATATCCAAATAAAGAAGTTATTATTTATACAGTTCTAATGTATTTTCGATCAAATAAATGCAGTCTTTCAAAAACACTTCAGAAATCTTAAAAGACTCCATAAATTTGAATGGTAATGTACATCAGAAATTGTTCTTTGTGAATGCAATCGCAGTTATTTGGAAAAATATATATAGAATTTTTTTTAAATCCTGGAAATTCTTTGGTTAAAATGTGTGGAAATTCTGTATAATGGATTTGAAGTTTGTTATTATAAGTTTATCAATTATAGGTTGTTAAATATTTGTGTTCTGTAGTTGTCAATAAATGATAAAACACGACAGATCATTTAGGCCTACTTAATCTTAGTACTGATGGCTTTTAGATATGTTACGTGCCTATAATTATAAATTTTATTCTCAAAAGTGTTTCATCTAATAGAAGCATCAGTAAACTAAAGAATACTGCTGACTGATATCTTGATGGGGTTTTCTTCTTTACAATCTCAGAACTCTCCTAATAATCTAAGCAGCATTATTAACCCACCAGGAACGCCACGAGATGACAGTGAACTAGGTGGAAGTTTCCTACACTCT